ACCGATTATCGATTACTCTCGAGAATCGATACTACTCGGGTAAAAATGGTAGGTGTAGTTGTAACGAAATTTTTACGTACAGAATTTCACGGGTAATAAGCTTGGTCGCGTTCGTCATTTCCAGCCACTGCATTTTGCAATCACAGTTCCAAGGGTTGTTCTCCAGGTTCAATATTGGCGTTCTCTTTATTATCGGCATGAGGTTGTAATCCAGGGTTTTCAGTCCACAGTCGCTCACCGAGAGGTGTCGTAGTTGCAGCAGAAGACTCCCGCTGTAAGGGTCTACTTTCAAGTGTAATAATTTCTTCGAGCCTGCCAAACTTAGTACTTCTAAATTCGTCAGATTTTCGAGATCGGTGAGATATAGTTCTCTTAGGATTAACATGTCGTTCAATTTCAGTTCCCGTAACTGGGGTAAATTAATGTCTCGTAATTGAGATATCTCGGTGCTGGACAAGTCGAGTTCTACCAGACTGGTCGGTAGCAAAGGGATCGATTTAATGGAATTCCGTGACAAATCGAGAGAGGATAAGTTAGTTAGCGTTACGAAAAGTTGCGAGGAGAAATACGTCGACGATACGTTGCTCAGGTTCAAATATTGCAGCGCCCTTAAATTCCAGAACGCGTTTTCATGTATACCGTCGTTGATCGGATTGTTGGCTAACGAAAGGTATTCTAAAATCTGGAAAAAGTGAATAACGTACAGTGTACAGCTTCGTTTCTACTTGTACATTGTAAATGTAAGGTAGTTACTTTGAAATGCTCCAGCATAGTTTCGTTAACGACAGACAGTTTATTCCACGAGAGATCGACTATCTTGAGCTTCAGAATTCGACCGTTGAAGGCATTGTCGTCGATGTACTCCAGCTGGTTGTGACTGATGTTTAACGTTTGCAAATTATATTCGTCTTTGCAGAGAAAAAAGAATCGTCGAAGATGATTCTGTGACAAATCCAGAACCCGCAATTTAATAAGATTTGTGGAACAATCGAGGAAGCTGTCGAACTCGTTCCCTTGGAGAATTAGATCGGTGACATCTTCTAAATTGATCTTCGACTGCATTTGTAAGAAGAAATCTTCTTTCTTCAAGCCATGTCGCGTTAAGTTGACCTGAAATACCAAGGTAAGTTTTTATGAACGCAGTAATGACAAAAAAAAAAAAAATCAAAGTAAAAAAATACTATTAATCCATAACACGTAACCCACATGAACAAAAGAGGCGCGAAAAGACAAACTTTCGCGCGCAATAACGTACAAAGGACGCCATTACGATTCGAAATTTCAAATAGTGACAGTTACAGCAATACGATAAATCACGTTTAAATTTCCTCGAATCGTTATCGAATAATCGCGAAACGATTACAGTGTACAAAATGTCCGATAAAAAAGTCCAAAATTGCAATATGTCGCAATACGTAAAAAGGAGTCGTAAAAAAATTACGTAAACGTGCGATAACCGCGAATGAACCGATCGGGGGGCACATTTTTGTCGCACGTCGTGAAAAGTGTCGCGAAACAGTTCGTGAATCGTTATCGTGCCGAAAAGTGCAAACCCACCAGCTTCGTCGAGGTCGTGGAAACAATTAAGGCGAGAATTGTGATAGCCCCGAGCCACATTGTCCAGATGGTGAATGATTATCTGGTGCACAGATAGACGCGATGGAATTTCGGTCTCGTTCGAAACGGTCGCGTCGCGCCAACACCGGCTAGTTGCAACTATGTCTCTCACAGGACGATTCGCTGGAATGGCAACGAATTCATCCGCGACATACTCTGCTCGCGATTACAGTGCCGAATTAAGAGGGGAGCAGGAGGGGCTTCAGCATCCTGATGCACTTTACTCGACCGATTTATTCTTCTTCTCTCTTGAATCGACTTTTTTCTCTTTTTTACGAAAATCTTCGGGCAACACTTTTACTTCGAATATTTCACAATTTTCGATCTTGTACGATTCTCGCGTACGATTTAACCAACCGGCTCCAAGTGTGAATTACGATTACCGTATTCTCTTCTGCTTTACACTTCACGAAAAATAATCTTCGCCGACGATAAATCTCCTTGTAAATAAAAAATCGCCCGGTCGATGCTTTTGAATTGTGTAATACGTAGTTTCGATAGCCTCTCGCGATATATTTTTGGGTTGGGAATGTAATACAAATTTCACACTCTTCGATAATCTGTCTCGTCGACTTCGATCTTTCTCACTATTCTCTTACCTACCAATTTCTCTCAACTTTTTATTCACTTTTCGACAAATTTTTCCACCGTGTCTTTTCTTTTCTCGATCGTTCGGTACGAAGATAAATGTTTCGGCAAGTGTTCCGTATCGAACACCGAAGACGATTCGCACGAAACCGTCGACGAACGAGCAATGGAAAAATAATTCTTCGAAAGCCCTTTCGAACGGTTTCGCGGGGCGTGCGGCGTGCTAATTCGTTCCCAACCGGTTCAGAATACGAGAGGCTAACGCACCATTCTTTCGATAAAGCGAGATTACGTCCCCGATTTCATACGTACGTTCTGCTTTACGTTTGCGTTTTTTCTCCCGGGTAGCTTAATCGCCCTGGATTTTTTTCATCAATTTATGTTCACACTATGGATATCGTCTCGCGCGTCTAAATTCGCGGCGGGCGTGAAAAACGCGAGAAAAAAAGAGATGGAGAGAAAGCAGCACTCGGGACGCTGCACTCGATGCGCATCGAATTATTGGACCGCCGACGGAAACGTTGAAGCGTATCTGGCGAACTTCCATGTGTGGAAAATAAAAATATAGTTGTCAGCGATAAAGTCAGTTCCACCAAGTATCTAGCTATGATAATGCACTATGCTATGGTTGTTTGATTATAATTCACGCACAGTGCAATGTTTTTCTGATACATTTTTTTCCCTTTTTTCGTTTCTTTGGTTGGTTACACGAATTTGAAATCTTACATCCGTCGTATCGTGTTCTTTTTTATTTCGAAAATGCTGATACGAGGGATGTTGTTTCAGAGTGATTTTTTTGGACACTCTTGCAAATTGTTGTGATGTAATTTCACGGATAATTTTCTGCAGAAATTGTACATTTATAATATCGTATTTTTTTTGTTCTAAAAAAGTATCGGTGATAATAACATCTCTACTTGTACATAAATTATTCAGAATTTTATTCTTGAGGGATTAGCTTGTTTGGACAGGGAGGATATAGGTGTGCAACACATGTGGCTATCGGTGAATGGAAACTCAACGAGAATGAAATATAAACAAAGCAGCTCGTTAAGAGTCGGGCGTTTATTCACGGAATCATATCGTGCTTGCGCCCACGGCCAACGATTGCTTCCGAGATACGCGACACATAGTAACAAATAATTTCAATGTGATTAACGCGTGTACGATGGCAAGACGGTAGTTCATTTCTTCGGGGTTTGAGGTGTACTTGTTGCTTTGAACACCAACGGGTTCGATACTCGGAATATACTTGGTAACATTGTGGCTAGGGTACCAAATACCTCTTCGGACATTCCCTAAAACAGATGGACATTTGTTTTTTAGAATTAAATTTCCAACGAACGAGACAATATTTCTGTGGAGGAAATCAAATCACCTTTGGTACTAAAAATTGTAAATTCTTTAATTCCGCCCCACCCCAAGATGCCATCTCTATCATAAACCCTTTCACGCATTTGAAAACTAATTCTGCTCTTTTTGTACACCACGCTACAGTCATATCCTGAAAAATAATATTTATATTTTTTAGTAAATAGAATATTACAAAATAATTGATTTTTTTTTAACGTGTGTCATCGTACTTCTGACATTTCGTGTACGAGGAGAACGGGAATAGTCAGCGTGGTCACATCGTTGCAGCAAGCAGTTTTTAAAATGTTTCGTAATCCTAAAATGACTGGGTGCCTCGAATTGATATCACCTATAAATTCAGAAAAAATTCTTATCGACGCAAGGAATCGAATGTCGAAAAAGAAAGAACATTTACTCACCAGATCGCAACGAATCATTCACTACCATGTGGAAAATTACATGGACTTGCGCTAAATTTGAATGCCTCGTAATATAAACATCGCCCGTCTGCAAGCTCTTGCTAGTCGTTGATTTTTTCGTCTGCAAGTAATCACTTGTTTAGAATACATTCGATGCGACGCAGATATCGAATTCTTGTATTTTTTTTTTTTTTTTGTGCTAACTTGTGACTCATTTCCTTCTCTGTGATGCGCTTGCCTCCAGGCAACTGCATCCTTCACGTCGTCTCGAATTTTTTCCAATTGTTCGTCGATCGGCAAGAAATGAAATTCTGTCGTTAATTGACATATCGAACATAATTCTGCAACACGTTGATACTGTTAAGTTAAATGTAATCAAGTAGTAGCATCTATTAATATTACGCGCGGTAAAAGAAAACTGTACCTTTCGTTATTCCTGAATAACTACCTAAATGATTGTCGCTTAATAGCACTAATCCACATAAATCATTAGAATACAATCCTAAAGCTGTCTGTAGCCTTTGAGGTGTTGGATCCATTCTATTTTACAAAATGAAATACATTTATCTTCAATTGAATTTATAAACAAAATGATTGTGGATTTTTATTTTTAGTATACCTACCCAGACTCGCTTTTTTTTGTTCTACAAAAGTCTAAAACATCTCCAGTTAATATTCGTATGTTGTGCATCTGCTTCATCTGGGAACCTAAATGTATAGTGAAACTTTCCTCCAAGATAGGGTAGTCCGCCGTGCTCTTCTCCTCGCTGTGAACAAAATTATCTAAGGCTGGCCGTATCGGTGGCATCGACAGCATTGGAGAACCCCTAATAATTATATAATCTATGATTAACGACTTCGCCTCATTCGCATTTTTGTTTTACTCGCATAAACGTACACTGGAGTCGGTAGCATGTTAGTCTGTTGCTCTTCCAGTAACCTCATGATCCAGTTACGGTACTGTCGTCTTTGTTCCAATTTCAAAGCGTCGACTCTTGATCCCCAGTGACCTTGCAGTAAACTTTGTTCCTCAAAATGTCGTCCTGCCATCTCGTTTATAGATTTTTCGGTGGAACCGGCCTCAAGAGCTTCCACGGCGACTCGCATCTCTTCAGTTTGCCTAGAATTCATGTCTCTGATATTTTTCAAGTATTTTTAAAATAATTACAGATTAATTGACTATGTCAAAAAATTGATAGCGGGTCAATTTTATTCGTGACTTGCAGCCAGATTAAACGAAAAAGTTATTAATAATATGTTAGCGAAGTTTTAAATTCCTCGCACGTTGTTCATGCATGTTAGTATAAAAACATGAAGAATAGAGATTATAGTTCAATTATGGAAACGATCATTAACTTGAAGTGTAATCATTGGTATATTGAGACTACCAATAATCTACATAGAAAGGTCAATGTGACTTATAATTTATGTTACATGTATTGTTGTGCGTATCACAGATAGTACTAGAAGGATCTTGACCTTTTTTTTCTAGCATAACATGTGTATAGCATGTATAGCATGATACAATATGATGTACTTGCATTAAACCTGATACTAACTTTTGAGTAAGTTGTTCATATTGCGTGTCTCTCATCTGAATAACTTCAGTGACATCTCTTCCAAATTTGTGTTCTGCTTGAAGGATAGGTTCCAGTGATGGAGAATGTACCAATCTATGATATGCAGCAGCAAATAACTCTTCATCTGTGGTTCCAATGGGATCAGCATATTCAGCTGTTTTTTGCTTGTAGCTCTTCTCCCAATTTTTTATAAGTTCTTCAATATCTGTATTTCCAGATTTTGCATTTTCAAGAGCTTTTTCTGCCTTCTCATCATAAAATTCTAATGTTAGTGTTTTAATTGTGTTTTCCAATGATTCCAATAAATCTGATTCTATATAGTATGGTAGTTTAAAAGATGACATTATACGGTGCATGAGTTCTTTGGTAGAACCATGATATGGTATTTTTAATGGTATTTCCAATATATATTCTTGGTTTGTGGTACATGTTGGAAATTTAAATACAAATGTTCTCTCCACATACTCTTCCTCAAGCATATTCATATCTTTTAGAGTAGTTTTTCATTATACTTGATAATCCAGATATCTATTTTTATAGAAAAAAATAGATTTAATTTAACATTCAAAAATATATACTTTTAAAGTATGAGTAATAACAAAGAGACATAAAAGATGTGAATATTATGATACCAAAGAAGGTCAATGTTACTTCTTTTTAGTCGATAATATTTTTCAGAGGTCAGCTTTCACAACATTCGGGTCTTAAGGTCAATGATAAATTACAGAAACACCTCTGATTGTACTTTTTATCTACACTCTTTTAAAAACAATTATTTTCATGTATTAATTGTAATGGCTTTAGATTTGCCTCCTAGATAAACTTTGTTATCACATATAAATAAAAGTCCAAGATTACTCTTATAAATTGCCAATTTAAAATTTGTAGAAAATTTTTATACAATCAAACATTTTTATATAAGATTTTAATATCAAATATTTTTATAAAAAACTGCATCCTATATGTAATATGATTATTTTAAAATACTGAAATTAAAAGAAATATATGTATTTCTTATTTTTTCCATTTTTATTACCGACATACGAGGGCGCTAGCATAAAGGTCATTGCTTTGTTTATAAATAATTGCTTTGATAAATCCTTTGTTGAGCAGCGATTTAAAAAGTGCAGCAACACTTATATTTCATAGTACCGTGTAACGTAAATGATTTATACAAGTATCATACGTATTTGATGTACTTATCTGTTACATTTCTTCGTTGATTACCTAACCTAAATCTTAAAAATTATACTTGCAAGATGTTTGTACTTTCGTTGATGATGAGTCTTGCCTTGTCAAGCCATGTTTGGACATTTGGAGAAGTTTTTTCTATTTTGTTTTAAATGAAACATCGTAACCGAACAGACAGAACACACACGTAACAATTGTTAAGAACGTTTAACGCCCCCAGTCATTTAATCATCAGTTCCTCCAACATAAACATTTGCAATACTTAAGAATTGCATACATTACAATTGAAACATACAAAATTTTCAAAAGGAAGTTTGTTTATGTAAATTAATTCCATTGAGTATTATACTGTATATATTACTCAATGTCTGTATGTAGTTCGTTCCTTACATTCGAATTTATATATTCTTACGTTGGCTGCACTATCCTAAACACGAACGTCGGTAGAATTGGAGACTTTTTGGCGGCAGTCGGTTTCTAAGTATTAAAGTAAATTTTTCATCATGGTTGAAGACAAAAATCAAAACGTAGAATTAACGGATCACGAAGCTGAGTTGTACGATAGACAAATTCGTTTGTGGGGCTTAGAATCACAGAAACGGCAAGTATAGCATAACCTAACCTATAAAACTTTATAGTCTTGAAGCAGTTTGAACCGTTACCGTACAAATGTACGTGAAAAAATAATAATAATATTTATGCAATAAATATGATATAAACTTTAAGCTTATACGAATTTTTTAATTGATGTATAACGTTAAATAATTCCAGTTTACGGGCAGCTAAGGTATTATTAATAGGCCTAAATGGGTTTGGAGCAGAAATAGCAAAAAATATTATTTTAGCTGGTGTTCAAGCAATTACATTCTTAGACCATAGAAATGAAACAGTTGAAGATCGATGTTCACAATTCTTAGCACCTAGAGAATTAATTGGAAAAAATGTAAGTAGACATATTAGGATATAGCACGGTGTATTATTTATATAAAAACTATGTTTTTAGAGGGCTGAGGCATCTTTAGAAAGAGCAAAAAATCTAAACCTTATGGTTAATATTAAAGCAGATACATCTAATGTTGACGATAAGTCAGATATATATTTTAGCAACTTTGATGTGGTCTGTGCAACACAATGCACTATTACACAAATAAAGAGGATTAACGAAGCGTGTAGAAAGCATAAAGTGAAATTTTTCGCTGGAGATGTATGGGGAACTTTAGGTTATACTTTTGCTGATTTAATAACTCACGAATATGCAGAGTAAGTGAACTTTCAATTGATATTTTAGAAATCTACTGTGTTATTATAAGCAAGTTGTTAAAATTCATTATATCTTTTAGAGATGTAGTACAAACAAAGAAAATACAAATGTCAGAAAGTGGTGAACCTATGCATAAGGAAAAGTTTGAAAATATAACTGTAACTGAGAAGCACACAGATACCTTTGTGCCTTTTGAATCAATTTTAAATATTACAAAGTCTTCCCTTCCCAAAGAGTCAGAAATATATTATATGATGTTAAGTAAGTGTTGGTGTTAATTAGGTTTGTAGTATTCTGTGTAAAACAATTTTATAGGGTACATTCTTGTTTCTAGTAATGCTAAATTATCGTGAAAAATACGGTAAAGATCCATTACACAGTGAAAGAGGTTCCGAGAATTTAAAGGCTGAAGCAGCAGCAATTATTAAGAAATATGATCTTGAGGATAAAATAAATAAATTAGTCGAGTATGTATACGGAAATGTACTACTTTATGGAAAACGTCTAATCTTTAAGATATTTAAGAATAATTCGTTATTAATTCAGGGGCGATATATATGCACAAGCTAGTCCAGTATGTGCTATAGTTGGCGGTATTATGGCGCAAGAAATAATTAAAACAGTTTCACAGAAGGGTGCTCCACACAATAATCTGTTCACCTTTAATCCAGACACGTTGTGTGGAAAAATATTGAGATTGGGTCAGTAATAATAATTTTGCAGAAATGGTATGTCTCGCTGTTTCTGTGTACTGTGATTGTCAATTATTATTTTCATAAGCACCCACTCCATATTTTTTACCATAAAAAGTACAATAAATGTATGTCCAAAAAAACAAAAACAAAAGATGAAAAATATTACTGTATTACAATTGTATTCCTTTGTGCTTCGATCATATTTAACTTTAAGTTTCAATTTTATAAATTAATTTAACGCTATGTGAAATCATACCTGCGAAAAAGTAAAAAAAATCTTCTAACACGTTTACCTCGGGAAAGAATATTTTTTGGGACTTTCCTGACATTTGAGAAAATAATTTACACGTCGCGTGTGTGTTCTGCTTCAAAACCGAGAACAATTTATCGCCCGAGTTTTGGAGCCCGTATATACCTACTATATTGCAACGCTCTCTCCCTTGTCTCTCCGCTTCTTTTCGCTGTTCCTTCCTTTTTCTTTCCAAGCGTATAAATGTTGAATGTACGCATTCTCTGTTGGTAAATGTGTGGTTTATCACAGCTCGCGCACGTCCCAAGATATTTTTGTTCACCGTCCCGTATGTACGCTCCCCGATGGAAGAAGAGATGGGGTGGCTCGTTCGCTCATACGTGGAAATATGACTCACTTTGCCGGCTTCCGCCGGGGCAATTTGAGACCCGGTTTGCGGATTTCTTTTTTTTTTTTTTCGTCCTCTCACGTGGAAAAAGCGGGCGGGAAACGTGAAATGGAAATTGAAAAATTGGAAAAAAAGGGGGAGCGAAGTTGAAGCACGGCTCGTTATGCTTTATCGGCTCGCTCGATATTACCTTCGTCGCCACGACACAATCTCTTTTTATGCTTCGCATTATTTCAAACGTTTTCTACCCTTTCGTTTCTCTAAACCACCCCTCCCCATTGAAATCCTGTTCACTTTTTCACTGTTAACAATTTAATCGACTTCGTTCTACCGGAATAGGTTGTGACTACGCTTCGACCTTATCCAACCGTGTAGCGCGTATTTCCCCGTTCCTATTCTCTCGCTCTTCAATTATTTATGTCCACCTACTCGTTTTCCTCGTGGATTTTTCCAATTCGCGTAATTGCCCCTATCTCGTTGATTGCGATCTGCGCGTATTTTACCGTAACGCCGCGAGGAGATCCCGATAAGCGTGGCGAACGGTGAATATATACACGAGACGAGAAGTCTCATCGAGGATGACGCCGCGTGTTCTGTACGCGCGAAATCCCATGCTCCAAGCTTTTATCTGTACACATCGGGCCGTTACACGTGGGCGGCCAAGAATTGATTCGACTTTCGCTAGAGAATTATGATGTATCGTCTTTCCCCGACGATTATATCGCGCCGCGGCCTGTATGTAAATGGGAAGGGCTCGCGTGTAAAACGCCACTCTATTCCTCGTTGTCCTGAAACGGTTGCAGGTACCGTATACACGCATCCACCACGCGTTTCTTAACGACCTGGCCACGTGCTTTCACGGTTGTCGAATTATCGTTCACGAGGCATTTTTGCGAGTGTCTCGTGCTGCTCGTCGGGGAAAAAAGAACCATTAACTTAACTCGATACTCCTTGTACGAGTGATCACCCTTGCTCCTCTCTTAATTCGCGTTGGGATCGTTCTTTCGCGGACCAAGGGGTGGCTTGAAACCGTTACGCGAGCGATCCTGATGTCACGTATCCGCGACCAATTGTGTCGACTAGTGATTTATAAATTTAATAGTCCACCGTCGTTCTAGCGGAAACGAGCTTGTTCTTGGGTGAATAGTTTGCTTTGTGTGACGAATTTTTACGAATTTCGTAGGGAATTTTTAATTTTTTATTCGGTTCGATTTAGATTTTAAGGATTGTTATTTGAATAAAATTGCACAGTTAATTAATCCTTTGTTTTGAATATTTACATACTCCCGTTATATTCTTCGCGCCTTTTGGCACACTTTCACCTTATTTTTGTCCCCTCAGTCCTTAATTTTTGTCCTTTGCGCACTTCTGTCTTAATTTCATAAAAGAAACTTGAAACGATAAATTTGAAATTTTCATTTTCGAACGCCAAAGTGAAAGATTTTTTGGCCGTGATTGAACATCTATCGTCTAATAAAATCTGCCGCAGCGAAAGGGTTAAACAGCGAACCCTTAATTTATAGAATTCAGCGAATTTTATCACATGATCTATCAAAATAAGGAAATTTTCCAACATTATCAATTTACATTTCAAACTTTCTTATTTCAATAAAATTGCAGAATTAATTAAACTTTTCACTGTTATTGGCGCACGCAGGCGCTTTGAAAATGTGCTCGCGCTGTGATTTTAGCGCCTTTTGGCACACTTTCGCCTTAATTTAGTCCTAATTTTTGTCCTTTGCGCACTTCCACCTTAATTTAATAAGAGAAATTTAAAAGCGATAAATCTGAAATTTTATTTTTAAAATTTTTTAAAAATTTTCGAACGCCGAAACAAAAGATTTTTTGGTTGCAATTGAACTATCTATCTGTCATCGTTACGTACTAAAATCTTCCGCAGCGAAAGGGTTAAATCTCAGACCCTTAATTTACAGAATTCTCCGAATGGTAAACAAAGAAATTTTCCAACATTATCAATTTACATTTCAAACTTTCTTCCCCGAATAAAATAGCAGAATTAATTAAAACGTGAATCACGAATTTATAGAATTCAGGGACCGTTTGTTTGTGCCTCTGCTACTAGAGTGGTGTAGTTGTTATCGTTGCAGCGTTTTATCGCGAGGCCACTCGCTATGTTCGTGTATCAGGCAGCGTGGAAATGCACGCGGCCCGCTCTAAAATATGATCGACCGGTACAACAATTTACCCGCGATATTATCTCACGGCAAATAGGTTAGAAGACGTACAGGTAGTTCCCGTGAGTCAGGTAAGGAATTTACCGGGACTACTGTCACGGTTGCACGTTGCCGCGCGTATAACATTCGTTGAATCAATACGACACGTACGCCTCTAGGAATGTTGAACAACTGCGGAGGAGCAAACATAGAGGAAAACACGTGTTTTACGTTTCTGCGATACGCTGCTTCGAATGTTCCTATGAATTGCTCGTTAAAACGAAATTATCGTTATGCAAACGCACCTCGATTATTTTCTTCTCGCCTAACGTAACTGTACTTTCGAAATTTAATTATAGATTCTACACGCTGGTTCGTGAGTCACTTGATCATTTAAATATTTAATAACATTTTCTTTTCATATTGTATGTTTTTGTAAATTTCCTATCAGATTTTGGGAAGAGTTTGTTCAATTTTTAAATTGTAAGGCGATAAGACTTATGGGATATCCTGTATTGATAAACTTGACTGAAAGTGAAAATATATTGCACTTCTTAATCGAAATATTAAATTTTAATTAGCTGTGAGCTTTTATTACTTCTTACATAAAAATTGGATATTTCTCTTTAATCCTTTAACCTACAACAACGTGTCAGAGATTCTGGTCAAGAAGTGACAAAAATAGGTATATTAGTAAGAAAAATTAATTGTAATCCTAACTTTCGTTTTCATTTGTAAAATTAAGGATTCTTAAATGTAATTTACCTGTAACAACTTAGCTTCTGTTACTCGATACAGTACTAAAACATTAAATGGCCGACGCTTATATGCATAGTCAGAAAAGAAATCATAGGTTAAGGGGTTCATCGAAGTTCAATTCAGTGCATTCCCTGTGATTGAGTTTAAGCGAAGAGAACACTATTACTCACAAAAGTGTGCGTTCTCTCATTCCTTTCAGGCAAAGTGTAACACTATTACTCACAAAACTGTGTTCTATCGTCTTACAATTCTTACCACTCGACAATCAATCGAAGTCTCGAAAAATCATTTTAAAACCCGTTATTCTTCCCAATGGATCAACCGAACCATTTCCCGCGTCAAAATATTTCTCTCGACTCCGATGATTTGTTCGAGAGGGACGAAAAGAATGGGCGTCTTAAAAAGAAAGAGAACGGACGTGTAAAAGTCGAAGGTAATTTTTCCGCCATAAATTTCGCTCGATTCAATCTGTCCCGCGAGTTTCGAAGTCGAGGCGTGAACTATGCCCGGACATTTGTCGTAAGATGGAGAACTGGTTTGTTCGAGCCATTCTCGTTTCGAGAGTCCTTCGTAGGCGAGGCGGCAAAAGGACAGAAGGAGGAAGGGAAGGAAGAAGAAGAGAAAGAAAGAAGAAAGGAAAGAAGGGGTGCCACCCTTCTCACACATCGCGGCTGCGTACACGTTGATTTATGGTGCGACGAAAATTATTGCCGCTGTTAAAATACCTCGAGGCGTATTTATTGACAGACACGCGTTGCCTCCGCGAGGCTGTTGGTGAAATGAGGCGGCCCTCCAGACGACAAGACTGTACTTAAGTCGACTCTAAACGCCGGCTGTAAAGCCTGCCGGCATAAACGAATCGCGAGGGTACGATTTTCGCGAGAAACGGACCGCGTTTCTTCCAAATATGCAACTTTAATGGCCACCCGTCCAGGCTTCCGGGCGTTTCTCCAGGCTACGTTAAATAGACCACCCTTTCATCCCCCTTTCCTCTTCAATTTCAATCATTTTCTGGCCTTATGCAGCTCGTAAGTTATGGAACCAATCATGTTAACATGAAATTTGAGACAATATGTGGTGAAACTATAGAAAATAATTATTGGGTCATTTTGGAAGTTCTGGCGGTTTTAAGTCGCTCGTTTTGAAAAAATATTACTCCTCTGAAATTTCAGATTTTTGTTTCAAATAATATGCACAATGTTCGATAGACTTTTGCTAACTATTACAAGAAAAATGATAAGTGTGATTTATTTCAATCAGCTAAGGTGACAAGTTTTTGCGTTCAACAGGATGTGTGAATTTATGAAATAATTTTTGGAAAGATTTTTTTTTTTTTTTATTGGGTGATTAAGGTCACATGCACCTTCTGAGGTTATTAGTGACCACAGTGAGTGCAGTCTATAGTAGGTGGTATAAACCAATATCTTTCAAGAAGTTTATAGCTTTTTTACTTGAATCTTCTTTCTG